GAAGTAGGCTGTGTTATTCTCCACTTTTAACAGATGAGAAAATGAAGACAGAGGAGTGGCTTCCCAAAGGCACACATATAAAAAAGGTGGTAGAAGTGGAATTTGAACTCATCGTACCCAGCTCTAGAGTCTAGATCACGTTCTCAAGTCTGTGCCTCACTGTTTCTGTGAAGAGAAACAAGGGAACCTGGTGTATAGTATGAAATGCCAGGCTGCACAACTGAGAAGAATAAAACAGCAAATTCCGACAGAATTTGTCTGATGAGGGAGCCGAAGGCAAGCTGCAGGCAGGCTGAGGACAAAGCAGAAGCTGACACCTCACAACCCGCTGCCCCCCACCCCCCCACCACCACCCATGGGATATGTGTGACATTCCTCAGGCACTCCTGGAGCCCTAAAGCTAAGGAAAGAAAAAACAAATGGTTAACTTATAGAGATCACAGTACTGCAGGGCATGAGTCTCCCTCAGTTTACAAAAGTCTTAGCAATTTACAAGAACAAAAGCATTTCTATCAATAACCTAGCTTCCAGAAGGAAACGTAGATACAATTAAATTGTCCTTATAACCTGCAGCCCATTGACAGATACATGAAGCAAGCAGAGTTACGTTCCTTCAGGAAGCTCCCAACTATCTTCATGTTAATGCCTTGCTAGAAGGAAAAACAACCTTAACTTGACAAAGGCAAGGCCTCTGGTATCTTAGGAGTCTTCTTTAGCATATGAAAGTTCTTTTGAAACCTCCCTTTTCCTTACCTCCCCCAACCCCCAAGTATATAATTAGCCACAACTCACAACCCCGGGGCAGCAGCTCTTTCTGCCATGGGTCCTGTCCCCGTGCTTTGAAAATCACCATTTTGCACCAAAGACGTCTCAAGAATTCTTTCTTGGTTGTGGGTTCCAACTATACCCCACCGAACCTCACCTATATTCCAAAACCCCAACATGTCCATTTGGCTTGTAACCAAGGCCAGTAATTTACAAGTATACAAGTAGCCCTGGGAGTGTCATTCTAGTTGAGAATGACAAGGACTCTTCCCTTGGGGTGAGGAAGGAGAGCTGAAGACTCCATGGGAACTCCAGGAGGTGGGCAAGACCACGTCCGAAGCAATGGTCTGCCCCTGGTATGCTGGTCCCCTCAAGGAAACAGATGGAAGGTATGAGTGTCACAGAGGGGCCTGGAAACTTTGTCTAGGAGCCAGTTTGCCTGTTGTGTGCTCCCTGTCAGAAGTGTGGGCACCTGTTACTTGCACAGAAATGGAATTACAGTTAGAATATAGGCACATCTTTTAAAATGTAAAAAAAAACCCCAAAAAACCCACATGGGACAGAGCTATGAAAAAATACACAATCTTGACGGATCATTTATATACAGTTCCTCTAAATTTATTTCTCTGGTGTTTTATTTGTGGCCAAAAGTGTACAAAAGTGACGTTATTATAAATTTTTGCAAACATTTTAAAAGCCATTCATATTACTATTTGGATGGCAATTCTTTAGAATTGCCAAATGTTCACTAAAAACATTGCTTGTCAGAATTGTGTTCTATGAATTCTGTTTGATTAGATATTCAGAAGATGGACTTTGAAATCAGGTTAACTGTCTCAAACATATACATTAAAAGAATAACTAAGATTCCCTAAACCATTAAGATATCTCTTGGTTTTTTCCAATATTCTACAGCTGACTGAACTTTTATGATACGCTATGTTAACTAATTATGAAAAAGAATTAAAATATGCATGCTTTTCCAATTTATTAATTATTAAATAAGAAAATAAAAACAAAGCCTAGACTTCAATTTTTTTTTTGTCTACATAAAGGATTTTTTTTTTTTTTTTTTTTTAGCATTTGCCTGGCTAGCTCAGTCAGGAGAGCGTGAGACTTTTAAATAAAACATCCTTTTTGGAGAAACACTGATGAAGAAGAATAACATCAGGGAAATCTTAGACCTGCAACACAGGCTGCATATTTCTAGGTAGGTTTTTAAGAATACACTTTCGTTGGGTGCCTCGGTGGCTCAGTTGGTTAAGTGACTGCCTTCGGCTCAGGTCATGATCCTGGAGTCCCGGGATCGAGTCCCGCGTTTGGCTCCCTGCTGAGCAGGGAGTCTGCTTCTCCCTCTGACCCTCCTCCCTCTCATGCTCTCTCTATCTCATTCTCTCTCTCAAATAAATAAATAAAATCTTAAAAAAAAAAGAATACACTTTGGTTTAAAACATACACCTTGACCATTTATCCCCATAGCACAACAGTAGGAGGATAAGCAAGCGCTCTTCTTATGGAAGCAAAACAACATTTCTGAGAATGTGTATCTGCAGTAATCACTGTATTGCTCAAAACAAAGGCCCCGTTTGCATAATGGGACTGGTTTCTACTTTGCCAAATCCAAAGGCATTCAAGACTAAGAGAGGAAAGAAGAGACACCAATGGCCAACAGGTACAGGAAAAGGTGCTCAACACCACTAATCATCAGAGAAATGCAAATCAAACCCACAATGAGATATCACCTCACACCTGTTAGAATGGCTAGTATAAAAAAGACAAGAGGTAACAAATGCTGGGGAAGTTGGGGAGAAAAGGGAACCACTGGGCACTGTTGATGGGAAAGCAAACTGGTACAGCCACTGTGGAAAACAGTATGGAGCTTCCTGAAAAAAACTAAAAATAGAACTACCCTATGATCCAGCAATCTCACTTGTGGGTATATATCTGAAGGAAGTAGAATCATCGTATACATACATGCAATGGAATATTATCCAGCCATAAAAAGAAGGAAATTTTGCCATTTGTGACAACATGGATGGACCTTGAGGGCCCTAGGCTTAGTGAGATAAGTCAGACAGAGAAAGACAAATACTGCATGGTCTCACTTATATGTAAAATCTAAAAAACAAAAACCCCTGAACTCATAGAAACAGAGTAGACTGATGGTTGCGGGGAGGGCATGGGGTAGGGGTGGGGTAAGGGTGAAGGTGGTCAAAGGGTACAAGCTCGAAGTTATAAGACAAATCAGTTCCGAGGATCTAACATTCAGCATCGTGACTATAGTTAGAGATAGTGTAGTGTATACTTGAAAATTACCGAGAGAGTATGTCTTAGAAATTCTTACCACACACACAAAACGGTAACTATGTGAGACAATCAATCATTTTGCATATATACATATATAACGTCATCAAATGATACACCTTAAACTTACACAATGTTATATGTCAATTATATTTCAATAAAGTTGGCAAACAACAAAAAAACCCAACTGGGGGATATGTGACAACATCTACATTATCTACTCAAATGCACCCTAGTTACTAAACTGTAATGAACTGTTCACTGCTCAGAAAGTTTTAAAAATCAAGATATGAATCAGCCTTGGGCTTTTTAATAACATATTTAGAAACTCATTAGTAATGTCTATTTAGACTATTTAGAAACTTGTTAGCAATGGAGGAATTTATATTTCGGAGATTTGAAGGATATAAACCTAACATTTTGAATTCTTCACCTGGTCATGAAAAATTCCTTTTTATGGGATTCTTAATGCTTGATTCATTCATAATAGATATCACTGGTCTTGCAGTAGATCGTTTCTCATGTTTCCGAGTCTAGAAGTCAGATGTACTTTTTCAATCAAAAATTCCTAGTTGTAATTCTGTGTATGAACCTAAAAGCCAGCTGTGCCTTAAACCCTGGGCTCAAGGTCATTTGTTGTTACCAAAGGGGTACATGAGGCTAAAAGCCCACTTGCTACCCAAATGGAAACCTCATAAATGAAACAAATCCCCGGTGTGCTTTTTGGTCTGTTTTCTATGCTGGGTTTCAAAGTAGTAACCTTAACATTAAAAATATACTGTCCAGCCAATTTGTATGGAAACAAATTGGGATAGATTTGTTCCAGGCTCAGAAGTGATTTCTCCCTGATGTAGGACAGAGACTTGATGAAGTCTTAGTAACTTCAAGCACAAACTAGCCATCTGAAAGCACAGGTAGGAAGAACAGCTGCTCTTAGCTCAGGTTACATGAGTTGAGATCTTTCAGTTTCACCTTCAAGGTAAGAATACTTTTCTTACATTAAATGCTTATTGCTGTACATAACCAACATCTCTTTATTAGGGCACAGAAGCCAGCTTCCCCCCATACCCTTTCTCTCTCCTCCTCTATAGTCCACCAAGCTTTACAGAAGTGAATCGTTTCAATTTATAGCACATTCAGACAGTTCTGAGACTGTCAAGTCTGATGTTTTTGCACTAAGTGAGTGGATCAAAAATGGATGTAAATGAACCAAACTTTCAATCAGATTGGATCTGAGTATACAGTGATATAGTTTAGTTGTAGTAGAAAGTAAAAGAGGTTAAAAGGCCCAGAATAATTCAGACTAAAATATCTTGGGGTCTTTTTCCATTTTGAAATGATTTGAGCAATCTGTGTGGTTTAGGATTGACAGCATAATGGAAACAGAGCTAACTGCAGATTTCTTACCAGGCAGGTAACTGCATTAGCAGCAAAACTCATAATGTAGTCTGTTAGTTGAAAAGAGCATGAAGGAGCCTTCTGTTTTCTTATGAGGTGCTATATTCTCGTAGTTCTGGGCTAATTATACTTACCTACTGCCAAATTGCAGTTATTGGAAAATGCTCTCTATTCTGTGACTTTTAGCAATATTATGAGAAACCTCATGGATATTGATTCTTCTTATAATTTGTTTATTACCATAGATAAACATAAGTAAAACTGCTTCCAAGTCCTGCCTTCTATTTTTGATGTAACTATAACACAAGATATTGCTATGTAATAGTAACACTGAATATCCGTATATATTTCTGAGGATTGACTAAACGTTAAAATGGCAGGCCAATATTTCAGTGATCTTTGAGTTTTATACTTCACAACAACTCTCTTCTTTTCTAGATAGAACTTTTTGTGGGATACAATGCATAGCATAAATGTTATAGACAGTTCTTATACAAACTTTATGTACATTTTTGCTCATATGTATCACTTACCAGAATCAAGAGGCAACTTGAGGCCAATTTTGTGTGCTCAGGGATGGTGGAAAACACTGACAAAATCAAGCAACCAAAGACAAGGAGAAAACTGTAAAACAACAACAAAAAAGAGAAATCTGATAAGAACCTTGCCTTATCATGACAGACTTCATTTCTTGTTTCTATAGTTTAAAGCACCAGACCCATTTGAATTGGCATTGATTAAATCCTAAAGGCCTTGGAAGGGACTAGCCATTTTGAATATCAAAATATAATATGGGGGTGCCTGGGTAGCTCAGTCGGTTAATCGTCTGACTCTTGATTTCAGCTCAGGTCTTGATCTCAGGGTCCTGAGATCGAGCCCTGTATTGGGCTCTGCCCTGATCAGAGCCTGCTTAAAATTCTCTCTCTCCCTCTCCCTCTGCCTACCACCCCCACTTCTTCCCCCCCCCATATGTGTAAATAAAATGTATTGTGCACATGGAGCTCCTTTACAACTTCATTGATGAAGAAAATGTTGCGTCTGTGTTGCTTGCCATACTTAAAATGTCTGCAACTGAGAATGTGTGAACTTCCCATAAATCCTTTCACAAGAGGGGAGAAAGGCCCCGAAAGTGTGTTCTTGCTTTCCTACCCTGGGAGCACATGCCACAGCTGTTCTCTTATCAAGGAAGCAGATTCCACCTCACATTCGGCAGTGCTGGTGACCCATCAAATGTTCTAAGTGGTTGTTACTAAGCCACTGGCTCATTTTCACAGTCTAATTTTGCTCATGGATACTTGTTTGTCATTCCTTTATAATATTAATAAGAACAGAAAAGAAAGGGAACGATTTCTTCTGCTCCCCATGTACTTTCCATTTCCCTGCAAATTGCTAAAAGAGATGACCCCTCAGCTCTGTCTATTCATACTACAGTGCTAGGGAGCAGAAGTGAGGAGCAGCATTTTCTACCAATCTACAGACATTTTTATTCCCCAAATAATGGTACTCTCAGGATCTGGGAGTGGGGAGCTGAGTTCCCAAGGAAAATGTCTAATAAAAAGAGAAGGCTGTGTTTTAAGTTGAAGTTACTTATCCTAAAATGCAAGATTAAAAAACAAACAGTGGCACCTGGGTGGCTCAGTCGGTTAAGCGACGGACTACTGGTATCGGCTCAGGTCGCGATCTCAGGACCTTAGGGTCATGGGACTAAGCCCCACATCGGGCTCTGTTCTCAGCGCAGAGTCTGTTTGTTCCTCTCCCTCTGCTCCTCCCCCAACCCCCACTCATGCACCTCACTCTTTCAAGTAAATAAATAAAACCTTAAAAAAAACAACCAATACCTGAGCTCTAGGACATACTTTTTACTTTTACATATTTCTGGGAAGCTCATACAGTAATCTCCCCTAAAATATCAGTTTCCACATTCATTTGTATGGCACTGGAGTTAATCTCTGCCTCCTTAGGCTTGCCCTGACACATCATCCAAGTCTTTCTACCGCACTTGACTGGGAGCTCCCAAGAACCTATAGCCAGGGATTGGTAAATTATGGCCTAGGGAACAAACTGGCCCCTAAAGCCTGTTTTTGTAAATAAAGTTTTATTGTCACATAGCTACACCCATTTGCTTACATATTGTCTATGGCTGCTTTCATGCTACAGCTGCAGAACTCAATAGTCGTGGCAGAACAATATGGCACACAAGACTAAAATATGTACTCACTGACCCTTTTAGAGGAGAAGTTTGTGGACCCTTAACCAATACCATGTATTCCTTATTTCTTTATATCTATTCCAACACAGAACCAAGTGGAAGTTCATAATTGCTTATGTTCTATATGTTGATAATAATTACTAACACGGACATGGTGCTAAGCACTTTCATATGCATTATCCATGTTATCCTCACAAATTTATGGAGTAGAAATATCATTATTCCCGTTTTACAGATATGAAAACTGAGAATTAAGACCATTTTATAACTCATCCAAGGCTATGTAGCAGAAAGAGGGTTTAGCACTGTTTTCCCTTGAGCTGCTGCCCAGTGTTGCTGAATGAACAACGTAGATAGATGAGAATGGCAGTAACATTGTTGATTCTGCAAGACCTTTGGGGATACTTCTCTGTCTCTTCAAACTGAGAGGGAAGTAATTATCATTTCAAATAGACGAAGTCTCCAAGGAAAAGGAGTCTACAAGTGAAAAAAAATCTAGAATACGTCGTTAATAACCACTCACTATACTTTTTAGTTATGCATCTAACAATTCAGGATACTTTGGATTATACTTTGAGTTGGCCTTAATGGAATGGAAATTGTAAGCTGCCAATGGAATTCCAGTGCACCTACAAAGCCCCAAACTACTAATGAGAAAATGAAATTCAGGGATCACCCAGATAGTTAGGAGGATGATGTGGCATCAGGTAAAGACGGCCACAGATGTTTCCCCTCTTTGTGAGTAGCTGTTATCTAGGTATGCTCTCCTTGTCCAGGCTTACCAGAAACCGTTAGGAAAAGCAAGCAGGGCATTACTTAATCACTAAGACATCTTCTTCCTCCAAGAGCATCCCAGTGGTATCTTCATGGTCTCTTATGTTTGTGTTTAAAACAGAACTATAATAATCATGAGTCCTTTTGCTAGTTCCGTCTTCACTAATATTTGGGTGTTGCTTAAATTTTTTCCTTCATGTCACTACTTTGCCCCTTTTCTTTCTTGAGCCAATTTTACACTGTTTTCTAATAAGAGTAGTTTCTGTACTAGAATTCTGTTATGTCTATACGGGGCCATCTGAAGACAGCAAGCCAAAGACCTCCATTGTTCAGGCTGCCCAAAGGGCTATGCATAGATAAATACATTCATTAATTCACTAATTCCTCCTTTCCTCAACCATTCATCCATTTAGCCAATCAGCAAATATTGATTAAGCATATAATACTGGGCTGAGTCATTTTTTTGCCTTGACAGAGTTTAAGGTCTATTGAGGTATACAGAGTAGTAAACAGAAAATTAAATAAATATGAAATTTATTAAATTATTTTAATTTATATTAATTCAGTTTAAATAAAATAATATTAAGTAAATAAACATGGAACAAGTGTAAACAGAAAATTAAGATTCTGAGTGATGATTGCAAAGATTGGGAAAATACAGGGGATGCCAGGAGTATATAGGAGAGAAGGGGTTAGGCAGGACTGCTCACTCCCTTTGAGGAGTTGAGTGCAAAGTAAAAATGCGGGCCCTTGTTAAAAAACTCTGAAGAGGCACCTGGGTGGCTCAATTGGTTAAGCATCTGACACACTGGTTTTGGCTCAGGTCATGATCTCAGGGTTGTGAGAGCAAGCCCTGCATCGGGCTCTGCCCTCAGCGTGCATCTGCTTGGAATTCTCCCCCTCTGCTTCCCCTCTGCCCCTCCCCTCGCTCATGCATGCTCTCTCTCAAATAAAAAAAATCTTAAAAAAAAACTATTAAGAATTTTAAGATGGTGACAGCAAAGTATGGCACCACTTGTGGCACCCTTGTAAGTGTTGGGCTCTGTGGGAACGCACAGGTTGCATGCCTTTGAAGCCAGACTTGGGGTTAGGAAGACTTCCTGGAGAAAGTGATGGTCAGACTGAGCCCTGAAGGCCCAGCAGGAGTTAGCGCAATGGTTTGAATGGCTGGGGAGAAGGAGTGTTCTGGGCCATGAGACCATGTGGGTGAAGGTCAGAAGCAAGCACAGCATCACTAAAATTTACCAATTAATAAATTAGCATTAGTGAACATCCTTCAGTGATACATGAAAAATGTAAGGCAGGTCATCCTGGTAAATTCATTATATAGGAATCATTTCAGTTCAATTGAAAACATATACTGAGTACCCATTGTGAAAAAACAGTGTACCAAACACTACTGAGGTACAAAGGATACATTAAAGCAGTCTTTATTTTTAAGGAATAAAAAAATCTAATGCAGCTGGAGTTTAAATAAAAACAAAGAAATCTAACGTGGTTGGTAAGATGAACATACAGTAGTTCCCCCTTCGCTGTGGTTTTGCTTTTTGTGGTTTCAGTTACCAGTGATCAGCCATAGTACAGAAGCAGATGATCCTACTTCTGACAGGTCAGTAGGATCCTAGGACTACATTGCAATGCCTATGTCATTCACCTCACTTTACCTCATCACATAGTCATTTTATCATCTTACATCATCACACGAAAGAGAAGGGTGAGTACAGTACAATAAGGTATTTTGAGAGAGGGAAAGACCACATTCACATAACTTTTATTACAGAATATTGTTACAACTGTTCTATTTTATTATTATTTATTGTTGTTAATCTCTTACTGTGCCTAATTTATACCTTAATCTTTATCATGGGTATGTATGCATAGGAAAAAAACAGAATATATAGGGTTTGGTACTATCCACGGTTTCAGGCATCCACAGTGGGTCTTAGAACATGTCCCCTGCAGATAAGGGGGGACTACTGTACTGGATCATAATGAAGGGTAGAGGCTGATAAATGCTAAGAAAAATGTTATAGAGGCTGAGAGTGGGGAGGGGGTTCTTCTATTCAGTTGGGAGTGGTGGAAGCACACCAGGAAAGTCCTCATAAATTGGTGATGCTTGAGATTGTCTTTGAAGGAAGGGTAGGCTTGCAACAAGAGAACTTTCTGGAGAAATACATTCTAGAAGGAGAGTACAATATGAGAAAGGCAATAAGGCAAAAAAGTAAATGAAGTAAAATATCTGTTCCTTGTTTCATGAACAAAACTTATCAAGTTTGTAGCACAGGGTGAGACAGGTGCTGAATTGGGAGTCTGGGCCATGATGTGGAGAGGCTTGTATGGCAGGGTCTGTCTTAAGTTCCCTAGATAATGGGGAGCCACTGAAGATTTTTTTAAAAAGATTTTATTTATTTCTTTGACAGAGAGAGAGACCACAAGCAGGGGGAGTGGGAGAGGGAGAAGCAGGCTCCCCGCTGAGCAGGGAGTCCGATGTGAGACTTGATTCCAGGACCCCGGGATCATGACCTGAGCCGAAGGCAGTTGCTTAACCAACTGAGCCACCCAGGCACTCCCCACTGAAGATTTCTGAACAGGGAACTATCATCAGAGTTGCACTCCGAGAAAATCAAATTGGCAGCAGTGT